AATGAGCTATCAAGTCACGAAAAGACACAGAGGAGCTTTAAATGCATATTGCTAAGTGAAAGAAGCCAGTCTGAAAAGACTACATACTGTAAGATTCCAACTACAGTAAAACCTACTAAAACAAAAACCTATGTAAGGCAGAAACCTATCAGAGAAGGAAAACTCAAATATTTTCCACTAAAATGAGTGATAGAAAGTAGACTCTGTCAAAGGCAGAAAACTTGCAAGACCCAGAGAAACAAGGCAGTCCCATCAAGTTCCAGCCCTCACAGGTTTCACTGTATATGACTTTCTGGAAAAGACAAAACTACAGGTAGTACCCAGGTTATGAATGAGATCCATTCCTAAGTGTGTGTTTAAGTTGAATTTGTAGCTAAATTGGAACAAGTACATATGATTCTTATTTAGCCTTACTTTATTGCAAGAAAAGACTGGAAGCCTTTTCAATGACATAAAAGCTGCACATGCAGCAAGTGAAGGTGATTTTAATGGAGGAATTGTTGCAAGTAGGGGTTGATTCAATCGCTTCAAAGTGAGGGCAAGTTTATACAACATTAAAAGGCAAGTATGAGTTGTCCATAACCTGGGGATTTACTCTTTATTGTTGTTAGGTGCCGTTGAACTGGTTCTGACTCACGAGAGCCTATGTACAACAGAACAAAACACTCTCTGGTCCTGCACCATCCTCACAATCGTTGCTATGTTTGAGTCCACTGTTGCAGCCACTGTGTCAATCCATCTCATCGCGGGTCTTATTCTTTTTCTGCTGACCCTCTACCTCACCAAGCATGTCTTTCTCCAGGGACTGGTCCCTTCTGATAATATGTCCAAAGTACATGAGACGAAGTCTCACCATCCTCACTTCCAAGGAGTACTGTTGCTATACTTCTTCCAAGACTGACTTGTATGCTCTTCTGGCAGTCCGTGGTCTATTCAATATTCTTGGCCAACACCATAATTCAAAGGCATCAATTCTTCGGTCTTCCTTATTCACTGTCCAGCTTTCACATGCATATGAGGTGAATGAAAATACCACAGCCTGGGTCAGGTGCTCCTTAGTCCTCAAAGTGACAACTTTGCTTTTCAACACTTTAAAGAGGTCTTTTGCAGCAGATTTGCCTAACGCAGTATGTCACTTGATTTCTTGACTGCTGCTTCCATAAGTGTTGACTGTGGATCCAAATAAAATGAAATCCTTGACAACTTCAGTCTTTTCTCTGTTTATTACGATGTTGCTTATTGGTCCAGTTGTGATGGTTTTTGTTTTCTTTATGTTGAAATGCAATCCACACTGAGGGTTGTAATCTTTTATCCTCATTAGTAAGTGCTTCAAGTCTTCTTCACTTTCAGCTACAAAGGTTGTGCCATCTGCATATCGCAGGTTGTTAATGAGTCTTTCTCCAATCCTGATACCACATTCATCCTTACATAATCCAGCTTCTTGGATTATTTGCTCTGCATACAGATTGAATAAGTATGGTGAAAGAATACGACCCTGAAGTGTACTTTTCTTTATTTTGAACCACACAGTATCCCCTTGTTCTGTTCAAGCAACTGCCTTTTGATCTATGTACAGGTCACGCATGAGCACAATTAAGAATATGACCATTCTTTGCAATGTTATCCATAATTTGTTATGATCCACACAGTTGAGCGCCATTGCATAGTCAGTAAAACACAGGTAAACATCTTTCTGGAATTCTCTGCTTTCAGCCAAGATCTATCTGACATCAGCAATGATATCCCTTGTGCCATGCCCTCTTCTGAATCCAGCTTGAACTTCTGGCAGTTCCCTGTCGATGTACTGCTGCAACTACTTTTGAATGATGTTCAGCAAAATTTTACCTGTGTGTGATATTAATGGTATTGTTCAATAATTTCCACATTCTGCTGGATCACCTTTCTTTGGAATGGGCACAAATATGGATCTCTTCCAGTCGGTTGGCCAGGTAGCTGTCTTCCAAATTTCTCGGCATAGACGAGTGAGCACTTCCAGTGCTGCATCCGTTTGTTGAAACATCTCACTTGATATTCTGTCAGTTCCTGAAGCCTTGTTTTTCACCAATGCCTTCAGTGCAGCTTGGACTTCTTTCTTCAATACCACTGGTTGTTGATTATATGCTACCTCCTGAAATGGATGAATGTCGACCAATTATTTTTGGTAACGTGACTCTGCGTATTCCTTCCATCTTCTTTTGACACTTCCTGCATTGTTCAATATTTTGCCCATAGAATGCTTCAAAATTGCAACTCGAGGCTTGAATTTTGAATTTTTCTTCAGTTCTTTCAGCTTGAGAAATGCTGAGCGTGTTCTCTCTTCTGGTTTTCTAACTCCAGATCTTTGCACATTTCATTATAATACTTTACTTTGTCTTCTCAAGCCACCATTTGAAACCTTTGGTTCAGCTCTTTTACTTCATCATTCCTTAGAGATAGTAAAAAGATCAGTGGTTGCCAGGGGCTGGGGTGGGGGGGGCAGCGAGAATGAATAGATGAAACACAGGGCATTTTAAGGACAGTGAAACTATTCTGCATGATAATATAATGGTGGATATTATGCATTTGCCAAAATCTATGGAACTAAACAACACAAGTATCTAAAACTATGGACTTTAGTTGATAACAATGTATCACTATTGGTTAAGCAATTGTAACAAATGTACTACACTAATGCAAGATGTGAATAAATAGGAGAAACCGTGTACAGAGGGGAGATGGACTATATGGGAACTCACTGTGCTTCCTGTGCAAATTTTTCTGTAACCTAAAACCTAAAACTGCTCTAAAAAATAAAGTGTATTAAAAAAAAGAAACTTTCAGTTGCTTCCTAGTGCCCTTAGAATAATCCTAAAAAATCCTTAACATGGTTTGTAAGTCCCTCCCCATCTGGACCCTCTTGAATTTCCAGTCTCATTTTTGGCCACTCCATTTCACTCTCCCTGTTACCTGCCTTTCTGGACTTTCAGGTTCTTAATGGGTTTCTCTCCTCTCTCAGCTTCAAACATGCTGCTATCTCTGTCTGGAATACTTTTCCTTTCCTCCTCTCCACCTATATCCCTCCCATTCATCCATCAGATTCAGCTTAAATGTTACCATCTCTGTGAGACCTTCTCTAGTCTATTAGATAGATAGATAGATAGGCAGACAGATAGACAGATGGATAGATGCCATTGAGTCAATTCCAAATCATGGAGACCTTATGGATAACAGAACAAAACATTGCCTGGTCCTGCGTCACCCTCACAAATGCCAACATGTTGTTGTGTCTATTGTGCCAATCCATCTGTCTTAGGCTGGGTTCTCTAGAGAAGCAAAACCAGTGAAGTTTATAAATATACATATAGAGAGAGATTTATATCAAGGAAACAGCTCACGCGATTGTAGAGGCTAGAACATCCCAAGACAGTGGATCAGGGTAGAGGCGTCTCCCAAGTCACACAGCAGAAGCTGGCAAGCCCAAGATCGGCAGGTCAGAGAGCAGGGCTCCCACTCACAGGCTGTGCAGATCGACGAATCCCAAGTTCGGCAGATAAGCTGACAGCTCAAGTCCCAAGAACTGGAGATGAGGTGGCAGGCGGCAGCTGCAGGATCCAGAGAGCAAAAAGCCAGAAGGTCTGCTTATATACAGATGCAGGCCACACACCCCAAGGAGACTCCCTTTCATCTGATTGGCTACTCACAGTATATTCAATCATGGGAGTGATTACATTAAAACACTGAGAATCATGGCCCAGCCAAGTTGACACACGATCTTAACCATCACACCATCTTACCAAGGGTCTCCCTCACCCTCACCGGCCCTCTACCAAACATGATGTCCTCCTCCAGCAATTGATCCCCCCTGATGACATGTCTAAAGCAAGCAAGTCAAACAATGTTCTGTTGTGATCCATAAGATTTTCATTGGCTAATTTTTGGAAGTAGATCACCAGGCCTTTCTTCCTAGTCTCTCTTAGTCTAGAAGCTCCACTGAAACCTGTCCACCATAGGTGACCCTGCTGGTAATTGAGATACCAGTGGCATAGCTTCCAGCATCATGGCAATACACAAACCACCACAGTACAACTAACCAATAAGCAGGTCATGGCTAGGCCCCCCTCTTATCATACCCATAGCACCCGTTTTTCTTCTTATCGTCAATCTCCTATAATTATGTATTTACTGCCCACATTTGCTTTATTATTCCATAAAGACTGAAAGTCTACTTTGTTACTGCTGTATCACTAGCACCCAGGACATTAAATAAATATTTACTAAATTAAGAATTTTGCCAAAATATTTTCTATAATCTAAGTTATGTAACATAAGACAAGTAATATAGCCTGTCTTTGCCTCAGTTTGCTCAAGTATAAAATAAGGCTAAAAATAATACCTACATCAATGGATTGTTTTGAGGATTAAATGAAGTATGTTGATAAAGTCCTTAGCACTGTGACTGCCAAACGGTAAGCATTTGGTTAATGTATGGTTAAAATAAAGAAATGCTGTATCAATTTACACTCACACCAGCAGATTTTGAGGTTGTCACTCTTTACCCTTTCCAATATCGAGTATTCTGGGTTTTTTTTTTTTAATATTTTTGCAAATATTATAGGCAAAATGGCATCTTGTGGTTTTAAGCCAATGTGTATTTTTAAGTTAACTGCTTTTGTTAATAAGATGGTTGCATCCTGCTGCTCCGTGCCAGGTACACCATAGAGCAAATATCCATGTTCCTCTCTCTCCCTGTCATACTCCCTGTCAAGCTTATTTCTGGCAGGGGTAGGGGGTAGTATTTGAGAAGACAGCCCCCAATTTAGAAGCATATTGTGCAAGGCCTGGGCAGTTGGATTTCAAGTATTTTTCACAGACACCTTCAGGTTTTGTCTGAGTCCTTTTTTTCATCCTTATGGGAAGGTCGTGGGGCCCAACTCCCTCCTCAACCAACCCAGGTGGCTGCTTCTTCCTTGAACGTTTCCAAATGACGTCGAGCCCTGCAGGCCCAGAGGCCCCTCCACACTTCCTGCCTGGGGTTCAGAAGCCTGCCTCCCCTCCCAGCTTTGGGTGCCTGCTTCGGAAAATAGTGAGTCTCCCTCCTATAAAGCCCCCCTTTTCATCCTAGCATTGGGAGCGATGGCCCCAGGGTCCTCAGCTCCAGCAGATGTTTTGAAAAAGTTCTCTGGTTTCTTTTTCAGAAGTTTAACAAACCTACTCACCTCCGCCATCTTAGGTAAAGTAAGTGTCCAGCAAGGGAAGGATGCCGCCGGGTGTTCTCTGGGTATATCTGGGACTGTGCCTCTTATCAGGTGAGTAGAATGGAATGAAAAGGGGTGGTATTTCTCCAGAACACTGGGAGGCTCACAACTTTCCCTGGGCTGCCCAGTGACATGAAGGAGCCTCATTTACCAGAAAATATAAGGAACTATTTGTGCTACAGTAGCGTAGGGAGTTAGGGCTGGAGGCTAAGGAAAAAGATGTTCCCCAGGTGCCTGGGAGACAGTTCAGTGAACAGCCAAAGAAGAGAGGTTGGGATGACCATGTCTACTGAAAGCAAAGAGATCTCTGCCTGCAAGAGTAAGCTTGTTCCGTTAGTGAGTTTACCAAGCCCTTAGAGATTAATACGAAAGAGATTACAAGAGCCAACCTCCATTCTTTGTTTTGGAGAGACCAGGTGTAGGACAAATAGTTGAACCCAAACTGTGCACACTGTATAGCAAGTTTAGTACCTTTGAGACAATAAAACAGCTCATAATAGTTAGTCCTTTTCAGTTGATCAAGAGCTTTTTACCAGCTTAAACCTTTGTGAAGCAAAGTGGAATATAAATTGGTAAATAACAAAGATGATTTATATCTCTCATAGGAGATCAATAATACTAAAAAAAAAAGGTTACCATTTACTGAGTGCCAGACATTGTAAAAAGAAAAATATGTACACGTGTTAATTTAATCATTACCTCCACCTTGGGAAACAGGCATTATATCCCCTACTTTACAGACAAAGAAATTGAATAATTTGTTTAAAACCACACGGATAGTAAGTACTGAAGCTGATCTGGAAAGCCAGGTCTGTCTGTCTACAAGACCTGTCCTCTTAATGGTGGCGCATGAGGCAAAATGGTTGAGAGGGTTTTGTTTCCGAGACCTACAAAATGCTACCACAGCTGGGGCTGTTGTTGCAGAGCTGCAGCCATGATGTCACCACCTACTGCTTCATCCTCAGAGGTCTATGTAGACTCGGGCTTCTCAGCCTTGACTGTGTACACTGATCACCTGGGGATCTTGTTAAAATGCAGCTTCTGCTTCAGTAGGTCTGGAGCGGAGACTGGGATTCTGCATTTCCAGCAAGTTCCCAGGTGATGCTCTGCTACTGGTCGGAGGAATATACTTCGAGTAGCAAGCGGCAGAGTGTGACTTCTGCAGGGAATGATCAGGCATTTTCTTAGAGGCCTACAGTATAAACTATGCTCTTTCAGGGCTGGATTACACAATAAGCAAGGTATGCATGGGCTTACTTGTGCATACTTACTAATCTGTAGTGAACAATTTCACCAGTTTTTCACCACATGTGGTGAAACTTGCTTACTGGTTAATCTGCCTCTGCATTCGTTCGGAAAAAGAGGGAGTATCAAAGGCCTAAGCCCCTATACCCCCTAGAAACTTGGCCTTGTGAGTATGTGCCTAATCTGCTCTGGCGAGGGACCCTCGCCCAGTATGGAGGCTGTTGGTCCAGTGGAGGTCCAGGTAAGCAGAAAACTTTCAGACAGTGCAAGGGAAACTGGTCATTTAACAAATCTGACTTATTGCTGGGTGAGGGCACTCTGAGGGCCCAGTGGAAACGTGAGCAGGTTTTTCTACGCACAGGCTCTAGTTGGTGAGTAATCTGGGTGTCAAATATTTCCATCTCTGTCTCAGGCAGAAAACAAATGGAACAACTGAACCATTCGACAAGCAGAAGCCAGAGATGGAACAAGAATCCCTACATTTATACCCAAATAAGAGCATATTTTTCTCCACAGTCAAATAGCAACTTTCAAAACGAAAGCTTGGTTGCAAAATTCTTTTGCTATTTCTCCAGTTGACCAAAAAAACAACTTTTTTAACTCCTGTTTGTCAAATATCGTGTGTTCATGTTTAATGCTAAATGCTTCCTTGCTCTGTCTTATTCTGAATGGACCAAGAATCCCTAGAGCATCATTTGTCTTGGGGTAGGAATGACTGTGATCCAGCAGTGGGTAGGAAGGACTTTAGATGCTCATAAATGGTCAGATTGGAATATAGCCCATTTTCTGTTTGGAATTACAGGCACTCACAACATTTACCAATGCTTTTTTTCTTATTATTTCTTTTCTAGGTGGTTCTTGGGAGCAGCCGGGTGAGATACTCTTTCCTTCCTTTTTATGAAATCAGCATTCTTTGTGTTTATGAGTGGAACTTTCTCTAGGCCTCCCAAAGAGCATCCACAGAGACCAGTAAAAGGGGTTTCTACCATCTTTCTTCTTTGCATTTTCCTCAGAAGTTGAGAGATATTTTAGTCAGGAAGAGGAAAGCACAAGAGATCATAAGAAACAGTGCAACTTAACTATTCGAAAGGAAAAAAATGGAGACAATTAAGTTGAAAGTGCCAACAGTTGTTGTTTGCTTGCATTTCATATTTAAGGTGAGATTTTGTAGAGGGTGTGTCGCTGGAATGCATGTCTGGGGACGCACTGGATAAGCCACGTTGTATAGGGATGCTGCTCCACACTTCAGGGGGCAGCTTTTGAGTGCACAGTTGACACAACACGTCTGAATACTCTGAGTGTGTGTGTGCATGTGTCTGCATGTGTGTGCACATGCATGCGAGTATGCCTGGACTGGATTTCCTGTCTCAATCATAGCAGTAGAGTCAGAGGTGACTCAATATTTGAAGCCTCTCTATTCAATCAGCTCTTCCAAACTGATTGAACCAATTTCATATTCAAAGGCAACCACTGTGCGAGTCTACATTCTGGTGCACTGCCTAATTTGTAGTGCATGTAGGAGTCATTGTTGTAAATGGCCATCAGTTGAATGTAGAATCTAGAGCCCAAAACAACTTTTCATATACAGCAATGAGGAATTTGAGGATCCATTGCTTTCTAAAGGATAAGGGAAGAGTCCTAACTCATGGGAGCAGGGTCCGATCTTAGTAGCTGATAGGAGTGTTGCTAATGGTTTCTTATCATTTCCTTTTCAGACAATGAAGAAAAGGGTAAGAGGATTTTCACTTTATACAACCTGTTTTCAAATGTGGAGCCAAAATGGTCATAGAGGACAATCACAGTGTTGGAGAACCAGAGCTGTTAGAGCAAAAATACAATCATCTTTCAGTAGGATCTATGTGAGATGTGACTATATTTGTTGTTAGCTGTCATGTCTGACTATAGCTAAGCACGATCAAGTGGCATGTATCCTTGAGCATATGATCAAGGAAGAATACACATGTGGGTGCGGGCTGGAGTGACCACACATTTTTGGGTAAACTATGAGTTCCTTGAAGGCAGAGGCAGCATCTTATTTACCTGGCCTGATACCTGGCAAATACTAGATGCTCAAGGAATATTTTTTGAATGAATACATGAACAAGCACATGAATGCATTGTTAATTCTCTCTCCTCCAGACGCTGGTGGTCTTTTGTGAGAGACAAATAATTCATAATTTAGTGTGTTATGTGCTACCATATGGGTGGATACAGAGTAAAATATAGAGAGAGGACCGGTCAATTCTACAGAGGGTAGTTAAGGAAGGTTCCCCAGAGGAGGTGATTCCTCAGCTAAGTTTTGAAGGATGAGCTGGTTTTCTAGGGAAGGAGAATTATTCTAGGCAGAGGAGATAAAGCTGTACAGTATGAGGTTAAGAGTCTAACTCTGAAGCTAGACTGCTGTGTTTGAATCCTGGCTCAACTCCTTACTTGCTGGGTATCTGAACAATTTTCTTAACTTCTCTGTGCCTAGCATCATCATCTGTAAAATGGGAATAATAATGGTGCCTAGTTTATAGGGTTGTTGTAAGGATTGTGCAAGTAGTTTATTTAAGTCACTTAGACTATTAGCTAGTATAGAGAAGACAGTAGGTAAATCTTAGCTATTATTATATGGGAAACATACAGACTATAGAAAATAAACATTAACGTTTATTGAGTACTTTTGTTCTAGGTATTGCCTAAATATTTTACCTGAATTTCCTTATTTAATTCTTCTAACATCCTCATTTTAGACAGGGAAACCGAGGCTTAGAAAATAAATAGTCCGATCACAGAAATAAATATAAATGCAGATTTATCAGATACTGAAGCTCGCTTTCTTAACCATTATGAATTCTTGTCTCTGGATGTGTCAAACATCTTTGTAAGCATAACTATTTCTAAGCATAGACACATAGGCCCTTGTATGAGCATATGTAAGCTTTGCAACTGAATTTGTTCCAGTAAAAACCAAGTTAGGAGCAATATCCTTTCCATTTCTTTTTCAAACAAATATACCAAGCAGAGTATAATATTTATTTATTTTTTAATTACTCTATTTGTGATTTCTAGTTCATTTAACATTTCTAAAAAACATCAGTGCTGAAAGATCATTTTTAAGTCAATATAAATGATCTGTTGTCACTATACTCAACTCCTAATTATTAGCAGGTGGATAAACCGCTGGAGAACGATTTGTTTACATTTTGTGTAGTCTCAGCCAGAGGGCTCCCTGAGTGACTGGGTCAGAGCTCTGTTCTGTTCTCCATTGTAGCAGAACCTCAGCGGGGAAAGGGAACTAACGTTTCTCTTAAGCACCTGCTATGTGCCATCCATTTTCACCTTCATAACCCATTTAATTCTCACAAAAACCTAGGGAGGTGGGTCTTTTATCTCCATTTCCCTGACGAGGAAAATGAGGTTTAGAGAGGTTAAATGACCTGCCTTGGTCACATAGCCTAGGGTAGAGCTGGGATTCCAACTGTGGCCTTCCGACTCTGAGCCCCATTGTATACTGTAGCCAAGCGTCCCTAACAGGGAGAGGGCTAACTCTGAGTGCCACTACCTCTCCTCTCTGCCAGCTGTCATGTCCAGGCTCTGCCATAGCCTTGTGCTGCCCAGTGTCCCAGTCCTAAGTTCCCCAGGAAACAGAGATGCACCCCAGGACCCCACCTCCCAGGGCAAAACTGCCCGCTATGAGCAATGTGGCTGGATCCCCAAATTATATTGGTGCATTATTTATGGATTTCAGTTGTCTAAACTAATGGTCCCTTCCTCTAACAAAAATAATTGAGATGATTTAAAATAAAGTTGCTTTTTATTGGAAGAACCATTTCCTAACAATGTGTAAGGTGCTTCAAATTATTTAAGGGAAATAACAGAGCAAAGTGTATGGAATAAGAAAAAAAGATGTTTGATCTCTGTAATGAGGGACTGTTTTTGTTTTAAGAAAAAAATTATGAATAATGAGAAGTAGGTAAGCCCAAGAATCAGTGATTCAAAGGTGTGCCAGTCTTTATCTCTAAGAAGACCCCTTCATCTCTATCTGGTATATGGTCTGGCTAATGCAGGACGATCAGAATTCTGGAATTCTTTTTCAGCTTTAGGACCTAAAAGCTTCAGTGCATCTAGGTCTAGGAGTACGTACTGGTATGTTCTCAATTTGATATATCCGAGTTATATCTCTGAGCATACTCATGGGCTAAGTATATACCTCACCTCCAAGGCTTGGGGCTCACTGAAGGATAGGATCCCCTTTGAGAATGCTTGGGGCAGTGTCTAGTCCCACTTGAAAAATCTGACCTGCAATTTAAACTTAAACTAAGGTTATTCTCTTACCACTCTTTTCTTTTTTTCATTTTCAGATGACGCTCCAAGGAAGAGTGAGTTTATCAGTCTTTTATTAATTCCCTTTCTGAGAATGCATACCAGTGGGTAGAGGTGAAGAAGTTGATTCAGAGAGATTAACCCTACGAACTGAGGTCCTCCCAATGTTACATCCCCAACCTCCATTTTGAAAAGGTTCCAAATAGGGATTTTTATACTTTACTTCCATCCTTCCCTCCCGTGTTTAAACCCTGACATCTTTTAAAAGGTTCTCTAGTTCCCCTTCTCCCACATACCTCCTCTTTTACACCCTCTAGCCAGTAAGGTTCCCTTCTGATAAGCAAATCTAAGACCCTGATGACAGGTAACTTTCTGCATTTGGTTGATTCTTTTGTCACTAGTTTGCTTTTTCTGAAATCTTCCCGGTTTCTCCCTTTAATTTCCTTTCTCCTCGTCTTCCCTGTCCCCCAGGTTATAAAGTCTCCATATCTGGAACCAAGGTAGTGCTGACATGCCCCGAGGAAAGCGATTCACCAGTTTGGAAGCATAATGATAAAGACGTAGGCGAACCTGCAAACCTGTTAGTACTGGATGATTTTTCAGAAGTGGAGAACAGTGGTTATTATGACTGCTCTAACGGGAACGGAAACAAGGGCCTCCGTCTCTACCTGAAAGCGAGAGGTAGTACAGGTCTCTGGGACAAGGCCTACTAGAATGAGGAGGATCATTTCGAAAGGGCATTCCCAATTATTTCCCCTAAACCAACTCACAGTTTCCTGACATCCTTGTGTTTCCTCCTACACTTAATCCTGGGACTCTCTAGTACCATACAGCATCAGTGTTTTCTGAAATATAGATTAAACACCAACGTGGGGCTGTCCGGGCAACCTAGGTCAGCACTAGACCTCAAGCAGCAACTAGACCCAAGAGACAGGACTGGGTCATTTGCATTGTATCATGCCCGGAATTATGGCACACCCATATGAGTTTCTCTGATGCTTTATCCAGACAAGTCAGAAGGATTTGCAAAGAAGACTCAAAGCCGCTATAATAAAATTTCATAAGTTAAGGCATAGTAGTAATATAATAATGATAGCTAACAGGTTGTGGGAGAAAGATGTAGCAGTCTGCTTTTATAGAGACTTACAGCCTTTGAAACTGTATGGGGTCACCATGAGTCAGAATCAACTCCATGGCAGCGAGTCTGGTTTTTTTGATATATTAAACTGCAGGGACTGTACCAAACACTTGCCAGGGACTATTTGCTATACTTGTCTCAACAATCATATGCATTAAGTACTATTTTATTCTCATTTTATAAATGAGGAAACAGAGGCTTTGTGAGTTAAAAACACATTTCACAATTCTCACAGCTAGTGAATAATGGAGCTAGGACTTGAACCCAGGACTGTCTGGCTCCAGAGGCTCAAGCTGTAACCACCACACTTGGTTCGGTGTTGTTGTTGTTATAAGCATATTGAATGGGAGGGCTCTGGCCATGGCAAGCAAGGGAGTACTGAGGGGAGAATCACTTTCATTTGTTCTTTTCTCATGTCTAGTTCCCTCGTATTTTTCCTTTCTCAATGATTTCTTCTCATCTTTCTATACCCTTGCTGCAGTGTGTGAGAGCTGCATGGAGGTGAATCTGCTGGCAGTGGTCGCAATCGTCATAGGTGATATCTGCATCACTCTGGGCTTGCTGCTGGTGGTTTATTACTGGAGCAAGAACAGAAAGGCCAAGGCCAAGCCTGTGAAGCGAGGAACGGGTGCCGGCGGCAGGCCCAGGGGTAAGAACTCAGAGCTAGGTCTGAGAAGATTCCCACCAAGGGGGAGTCCAACCTGGGCCAGATGGGCTTCCATAGAACATGCTTGTGAGGCCAAGATCTCAGCAGACGGTAGTGTCTCAGGTCACTCCTCTTCTTCCCAACCTAGAAAAGGGTCAAAGAAGTCTATTAACATATAGCTTCCTCAAGAAGTCTATTAGCATATGTTATTGTTGTTAGGTGCCCTAAGTACAACATAACAACCTTATGTACGACAGAAGGAGACATTTCTCGGTCCTGCATCATCCTCACAATCGTTGCTCTGTTTGAGCCCATTGTTGCAGCCACTGTGTCAATCAGTCTCCTTGAGGATCTTCTTCTTTTTTACTGACCCTCTACTTTACCAAGTATAATGACCTTCTCCAGGGACTGGTCTCTATATTAACATATAGCTTCCTCAAATGCTGGTCAGTGTTCTGGAGTAATCAGATTCCATCCCCAAGCTATGTGAAGAGAAACCTTAGGGCATAAGTTACTGCCTTTTCCTTTCCCCTCCCCAGTGAAAAAAAACAATGGGAGGCTCTTGAACCGAAATCGCAAAAGGATGAGAGAAGAGTGTGGGGTGTTTAGAAACGGGATGAAAGAAAGAAAAGAGAAAGGGGAGCTGAGATGGGAAAAGGGAGAAGTAAAGGAGAGAATGAAGGGGTTTGCCATCCTTGAGCAATCCATGGCAGTCATTATTGCAAGATTGGTGTTCCCTCTTAGAAACAAATCCCTTTCACCTCCCTCCTCTGCAGGAAAAAACAAGGAGAAGCCACCACCTGTTCCCAACCCAGACTACGAGGTAACAGGGGATAAAGTGGGCCAGGAAGGGGGGGACCCTTCTAGGGGAGAAGGGAACAGATGGGGCCATCTGCCAAAGTCTACAAAGCCCCTCACTCAGGGCTCCCAGGAGAACCTACCAGGTGCCCACCTCTGCCTCCTCATGGTAGGGTAGGACATCTCTAAGGCTACACAGCTTCCACAATCATGATGGGGAATGGGGGGCGGGGGTGAGCAGATACACTCCTCTTTCTCTGACTTATTCACTGGCTGGGATACAGCCTTGGAGAATACCATGTATGTAAATTCTAACACTTAAACTCAAGGCTGATATTCTACCACCAGGTACCAGTACGCTTAACACCAGTTATTAAAATATTGAAACACTTCATTGGTAAATAGCCGCAAGCTTGCCCCCCTACACACACACACTCACACACTGCCAGCCATCGAAGCCCCTCCCACAGATCCTACTGGACTGCCTCTTGATTTGGAAACTAAAGAGTTAATGCTGGCAGAGCAGAGGACCCCACCAGAATTATTATGATTGGCTGGTATGTGTGCACCCCCAGTTGTTAAACATTTTGAATAGCACCCCTGGTTAACTCAACAAATATTTATTCAGCACCAGCCAAGCATGTGGTATTCACTTTATCACGAATGATTTCATTTAACCCTGGCAAAAGCCCAGAAAGGTGGGTCTTTAGATTCCCAATTTTGAGATGGGAAAGTTGAGGCTCTCCGGAGGGGACCAGCTCAAGTCTCCTACAAGTCAGTGCTAAATCCTAGGATTCGCGCCTACCTCCTGACTCCGAGTCCAAGTTTCTTTCCATTGCACCAAAGTTACGTCTTCAGAAACCCTTCTGCTTCCTCCCACCCTACTGACCAGCCCCCTCTCTCTTTCACCCCCAGCCCATCCGGAAGGGCCAGCAGGACCTGTATGCTGGCCTGAATCAGAGAAACATCTGAGGGCTTCTGACGACCCCTGCCTCCCACCACCCAGATCTGGCTCCTCTCTGGGCCCCCTGCTACTCCCTGTTCCCTGGACAAATCTTGGACCTCGCAAGAGAATTGTCCCTCTGCCTTGTGGTGAACACACACTGTACAGTCTTTTCCCCAGCTCCCTCCTTCCTGCTTTCTCTACTGGTGTTCGGACGTAGGATATTGCTGCTTTATTGCCCTTTGAAACATCATCGCTAGTCACCCCCTCACACCTGGCAGGCCCTCTTGTCAGTATATTTATTTCTGTTCTTCACTCCTCCCCACCCACCCCTATGGCTCTTCCTTCTCCCTTCAGTTCCCTCCTTTTCCTCTATATAAGTTGTCCCATCCCTAACTATTCCATCTGCCTTACTATTTTCCAGCTCTATTTTGCATCCCTCCAGGGATGGACTTGTTGGCAGATGTCCTGCCCCATTCACAGAGCCTGGGCCCAGAGCCAACCCTGGGCTCCCTCCCCTCTGTCTCTACTCTAGGGCCCCGCCAGTAGTCACTGGCATCTCCCCAGGAATGCTCTAGTTCCTTGTTCGCTGAGAGAGAAAAAGAAATAAAGTATCTTTGCCTGAAAGAGTTGCTGCCCCTCTTTTCTGGGAGGCCCTCAGAGGCTGCTTTACTTCCTAAGACGCCTCAGGTCCTCCCTGCCACCCCCACCCTTCCTTTCAATAAATTCTCACCTATGGTCCCAAAGACAAGTACAACCTATTTTCACAGCTAGTGGGAGGATTTTCTGAAGCTCTCATTTGGAGAGGGCATTAGGGAGCAAATGTCTAATTAACTTCTCTTGGGAGAAAATATCAAGCGTAGCAGGCAACGGATGATGGGTCACTGATGGAATGTTCGGCTCAGAAAACAGGAGAGACAGAAACAGAGGTCTTGGCAGGCAGATGGGGCGGCAGAAGAAGAGGGTGGAGGTGTAATGGGGGTGGGGGACGAGGCACAGGTTTCCTCGTGCTGCCTGCTGCCGAGAAGAGTGATAAGTGAGGGTTGGGGGAAGGAGGTTCTCTCAAGCAGGCACCACTCCCTCCACCCGAGAGGCAGCAGCTGTAGCCAGAGCCAGGCTGCGGTTCAGCTTGCAGGATGTGGTCTTTGCTGTCTTGAGGCTGTGAGAGATGGGGCGGCAGGAACCCAGAGCTGGGGACCCCGGTGGGGAAGACTTCTTTCTCATGCTCCCACAGCACACCTCAGCTGGTGGCGAACGGAAGCCAGAGCTTTGCGGGCCTGTCCAGCTCAACCCAGCAGGCTCTTCTCTTCCTCTCTGCACTCAGAAACTTCTCTATTAACCACACAGCTGTCTACGTGTATGATCGGGTCTAAAAAGACCATTTGTGATTAGCAGCCCTCCACACACTGTCCACACTCAGCTTTGGGCTGTGTCTCCAGCTTCTATTTGTTAGTCCCCTGTCGAAGTGCGTGATGTTGCCCATCACTAACGGGCCACTGATCAGCAGCACTTTCGACCCAAGTGCATTTGATTATGCCCAGTCGAAGGGAGGCATGGCTCAGTGTAAGAAGAGCAGTAACAGCTAACATTTACTGAGCATTTACTTTGCTCCGGAAATTGTGCTTAGCACCTTACATCTGTTATCTCATGTAATCCTTACGCCAACCCGATGCGGTAGACACTTTCATCCTTGTTTTATAGAGAGGATACTGAGGCTGAGACAGGTTAAGTCCCTTGCCCATGTCACACAATTAGTGACAGACATAGCCGGAATTAGCAGACAGGGCCGTCCAACTCCAGTGCTCTGGATGGCTACTCAGTATTGACACTGGTCATAAAGAATGTTCTCCATTTTCCTGTTCAGCATCATAGCAACACGCAAGTCTCCACTGACAGGCAAGTGGTGGCTGCACATGAGGTGCGCTGGTCAGGAACTGAACGTGGGTCTCCCGCACAGAAGGCAAGAATTCTGCCACTGAACCTCCAATGCCTCATGTGCTAGGTGCTTAACTCCACTGCTGTCAAGTCGATTCCAACTCAGCAACCCTATAGCACAGAGTAGAACTGCCCCAAAGGGTTTCCAAGGCCGTAATCTTTAGGGAAGCAGACTGCCACATCTTTGTCCCACAAAGCGGCTGGTGGGTTAAAACCAAAAACTAAACCTGTTGCCGTCCACTCAATTCTTACTCATAGAGACCCTATAGGACAGAGTAGATCTGCCCCATAGGGTTTCCAAGGATCAGCTGATGGATTTGAACTGCCAACCTTTTTGTTAGCAGCGAAGCTCTTAACCACTGCGCCACCAGCTAGGCTCTTAACCACTGGTGGGTTAGGAGATACAAATAAACAGTTTCTGTCTTTAAAGAGCATGTAATTATATGAGTGGCCAAGCTGTGCAAAAAGTTAAAGAGCAACATCAGAACAAGTTATGTGGTTAAGCAAACAGTTACAAACAGTGTTACAGGTGCTCAGGGGAATTGACGAGGAGGAGAGACTTAATCTGGGCCTTGAAGGGAAGGATGGATAGAATTTGGAGACAGAGGAGAAAGCCCTTCAGACTAGGAGAAGGGTATGAACCTAAGACTTAAAGGCAAGCATGCCCTCTTACATCCCCAACCCTCCACCCACCCCCAGAAACAAGTAAGCATAAGGAAAGGAGAAGGAAACTGGCCCTTATTGGGCACTTACTATGTGCAGGCCCTGTCCTAAGTACTAGACCAGCTGCCGATGAGTTGACTCCCACTCATGGCGACCCCATGTGTGTCAGAGTAGAACTGTGCCCCATGAGGTTTTCAGTGTCTGATTTTTTGGAAGTAGATTGCCAAGCCTTTCTTCCAAGATGCCGCTGGGTGAACATGAAGCTCCAACCTTTTGGTTAGCAGTCAAGTTCATTAACCATTTACACAACCTAGGGACTCCTTCCTAAGTACTAGATATGCATTATCTCTACTGCAATATAGTTGGCAGCTCCCGAGGACCACTGCCTCCCATGGCCCAGGCAAGGTAAGCTAACTGACTCTCAGCAATATTCAGTAACTTCCTTAAGTTCTCACAGCAAGGAAGCATTGACACTGAAATTCAAACCCAGGTCTGCCCGCAGATCTTACTCCACAAATGTCTGGCTCTGCTTTGCTGAGATACCACGAGTATGGCAGGTCCCCCAGCTGCATCCTAGGACCTTGTGGTTCCTGGCTGTGCCTGGCCCCTTCAAAGTAGAGAGGTTGACCATCTTTTTCCTTGTTCTACTCAGCTCCCTCTCCTTTTCCCTTGAGCAGCTATGCCACGCCTTCAACACTATCCTCAAGCTCCCACCCAACCCCTACCCCTACCCCAGTCTGAGAAGATGTTGTCAACTCCAGCTTCACAGAGAAAAAGGAGGCCACCCACCAGGCCTGCAGCCAATCTCCTACCTACCCTCTCACCTGCCTCCTCACCTTCCCTCCTGGTGTCAAGGAAGAGACATTTCTCATGCACCTAACTCTCGATTGCTTCTCCTTTCATCTGCTCTAGTTTCTTAGTATCACCTCTCTCCCTCCCCAGTATTATCAAACTCTCCTTTTTACCTTGCTCTTTCCCATCCACCTCACATCTGTCCTGTGCGAAGAAGAGCTCTCCCTTGACGCTGCATGCCCCCTGCTGCCCCTGCCCAAATGTTTCCCTTTCTTTCTCCACCCTTTTCAGTTAAGTTTCCCAAAACAGAAGTCTATACTAGCTAGTTCAACTTTCTCATTTCCCTTCCCTTCACCCAAACACTCCAGAAACACTTGCTGAGGTCACAGTGCTCTCCTGTCACCAATTCTGAGAGGCGCATCTTGGTCCTTTCAGAGTACACCTCTCAGAGGCATGTGAAAGGTTGACTCCTCACTCTCTTGACTTCCATGACCCCACTCTTCCCTTGCTTCTCACAATTGCTTCTCACTCTACTTCCTGGGCTCCTCTTCTACCTGCCCCTTCAACACTGGTGTTTCT